CACCCGTTAATTTTTTTGTGTTCAAGGATATGGGGGGGGGGGGGAACGTGCAGATCTGTCCTCACAGAGGAGAGCTTGTACCTATATATAATTTGATCTTAAAAGTGCCACTGGACTGTTTTGGATTGCTAGCTATTGGGGGGGAGGGGAGGCTCTGCAACTTACCTGGCTACTTTTTGCTCCTCATGGCCCGACTGAGGGCTGCTGGGAGCAGAGGGCGGGGCTTGTTGCATGTGCCCGCCCCCTGGGCTCTTTACTGCCGGAGCTCCACTCCTGTGCGCTCCTGCAGGAAATGACCCCTGACGGTAAGAAACAAGGCCTGAGGGGAACACTTAGAGGAGGAGAAAGTATGCACAAAAAGAGCCATGTGGGGTTTTCAGTGGATTGGAGGGGAGATGTTTTATTTTCCGCATCTCCCTGTCTCTCTCTGGTCCTCCCATCCGTGCTGCCTACCAATATCTTAGGGTATCTCCTCTTCTCCTGTTTACTTCATGACTATCACTTCTAAAATTTTGGTTTTTATTAGATCACATATTGCTCAGGCAAACCTGTATAGTTAGATAGGTCTGCATGATTTTTCTCACAGCGAGCTTGAAAAACTTTGGCCTTGGATGCTTGGTAACCTGAAGTTCGTCTGTGAATTTTTTTTAAAAGTTATAATTGTAATAGTCTATGCAAAAGCCACAAATTGGTGTTTTTATCGGGGGAAATCATTTTCTGTGAGCTGAGCTGTAAAAGGAGTTGAAAGCGTTGCAGTAGCGATAGGCATACAGTACAGTGGGTAGATGCTCTGCTGAAATGTGTAGCTCAGGTCCAAGTCCAGCGGGCCGTCCATTGGATTACGCTGGCTCTTATGACATGCATGCTCTGCAGTAGAAGTTCTGGGCAGTTTCAAGCAAGGAGTGCACGAGTCGTTCACATGTTTGCAACCTGGGCCGTATTTCTGTAAGGCTGTTGATTCTTCGAATGTGTCAGTGCACATTGGGGGAAAACCAGATAGAACACTTTATAACTATTTACAGAGTTATAATCAAAGCTGTAAACTTGAGTTGTATAAAAAATATCTTGCTGTCAGCATGAAGACTACAAAATTGTTTTTTGCTTAAACAAGACATTGGTCACTCACTGTACAAAGTTAACCTGCAGAGAATCCAAAGCGCTTCCAGTTTTGTGGGGCTGTATGCCAGCACTGGTGAAAACACAGAAGGAGGGGGAAGTGTGTGGTTCAGAATGTTTGTACCAAGAAACCCTGTATCTCTAGACCCATAGTTGCAGATAAACATGGGAGGGGGGTGGAGACATAAGCTAAAAAGCTTAGCACATAAGCTAAAAAGAATTCAAGCCTTTTGAAAAATGGTTGTTTGGTTACAGCTGAAAATATTGACCTTCAGGTGTGTGTAAGGCCCAGAAAACAAATAAAGCCTTGAAATCTTTTTTTTTTGGGGGGGGGGGGGTGCTTAAAGCTTTCGTTTACAGCACAGTAACAATGTCAGTACTGGTTAAATATTGAAGTATACAACTTTGTAACGCCCTCCCTTTGATCAAATAGCTTTAACCTGTAGGGCCTTCACCAAGTGGATTGCTGTGTGTGTACTGTTCAGTTTCTAAATCCAGAAAAACAAATATTTGGACAAAACCGGGAAACATCCTTATTAAACCTTAGATGTGTTGAATGGACACCAGTGGGAGGCAAGCCCGTGGACAGAGGCTGATCATTTACCTTTGTCGAAAAGCCACATGAGCCTCTTTCCAGACAAGCGATAGTTTCTGGTGAGGACCAGTAGATTAAAGCTGTGCGTCAACAGTCCTGGGGCCCTTCAACCCCAGGATTGGTAGCAGGCTGTTTGCACTGGCATTTTCTACAGCCAGACGGAGTGCATGGTAGAGTGTCTATAAGCCACAAGAATCTGTGTGTCTTAGCGTGGTTTTTAAATTTTGTGGTTGTTACTAACTCTCAGAAGATCAGTATCAAAGATGGTTTGGTGTGATGGGCTGCGGCTTTCTTGTTTACATGAACCAGATGGACTTTTAGATTCCAGGTGAACCCATAGCTAGTATTCAGCATATTGTGGAAATTATTTAGTACCCAGATCAGTCTTGCGTTCTTCAGTGCATAGATCCAGAGGAGTTAGCTGTGTTAGTCTCTTGCTGCAAAACAGTAAAAAGCCCAGTAGCACCTTTAAGACTAACAAACTTTATTGTAGCGTAAGCTTTCGAGAAACACAGCTCTCTTCATCAGATGCATCTGATGAAGAGAGCTGTGTTTCTCAAAAGCTTATGCTGCAATAAAGTTTGTTAGTCTTAAAGGTGCTACTGGGCTTTTTATTGTTTTTCTTCAATGCAGTGTCTGGTTTTCTCTGCCTGAGGCATCGCCGTTAATTCTGGAGTTTTCTTAAAACATTCATTATGCCACATCACAGGGATGGCGTCCCAAGAGATTCAGCCCAAGGCCAATTCCAGCACATCCGTTTCTGCACTTCTGCAGCATTGTGCAATCGATTCCCATTCTGTTGCTGCTCTTCTCGCCTTAACTTCTTACCATCGATTTCCAGTTCTAAGATTGCAAAGAACTGAAATTTGCAAGTTTTCTACTTCTCCCTTCCCCCTTCTTAAAAAAATTGGCAATATATATCCCATATAAGGAACCAAATGCAAAACATTTGATGTACATGTATCTTATATTAATAGAATAAATCCCTTTAAATGTGGGTGCGCAACCCTGATTTTTCTCCTTCACCTCCTCACCCCCATCTCCGAAACAGTGCCAGTAAAGCAAAAGCTTCATGCACTAAGAAGACCTTCGCTTGGGCCTTTAACATGTCTGTGCTGTTGTCTCGTTCTATTCTGTCAGCTGCTTGATTCCGTGCTTTGGTCCTTGAAGGGAAGACAGCAACGATCTACAAAAAAGAAAGGTCTATTTTTTCCACTGAAACCAAGTTACCTAATTATGCTGAATTAATTGTATCCACTCAAAAGCATTGCTCGCGCAGAAAGCAACCATGTTCTGTTTGATTGCATTAGTGTAGCATTAGAATAATTTGAAATTGCAGTACGCGGCAACAGTACAAACGGCAAATTCCATGCTGGGGATTATTAGGAAAGGGACTGAAAATAAAATGGTCACTATCTGTAAGAGCCAATTTGATTGTAGTGGTTAGGAGTGCAGACTCTAATCTGGGAGAACTGGGTTTGATTCCCCACTTCTCTGCATGCAGCTGCTGGTGTGACCTTGGGTCACTTACAAGTTCTTTCAGAGCTGTTGTCTCAAGAACAGTTCTCAAAAGAGCTCTCTCAGCCCCACAGGGTGTCTGTTGTGGGGAGGGAGAAGGGAAAAGAGATTGTAAACTGCTCTGAGACTCCAAGTGAAGCACAGGGTATAAATCCAACCTTCTTCTTCTAATGCCCCTGCATAGGTCTGCAGTGAGGCATCATTTGGGTTCCTGTGTACCATCCTGGTCGCTGTGTCTCAAAAAAAGATGTTGTAGCATTGCAAAAGGTATAGAAGGACCAAAATATTTGGCAGTTTGGTGTCCCAAGTCCTGAAAGGGAACAAGATGCTTGTTAGTCTAGAGAAAAAATGACTAAACAGGGAGTATGGCAAGAGGTTTATCAAATTAGGCACAGAGTGGAGTGGATAGAGAGGCTGCGATCGCACACACTAAAATTAATCCACTTTCAGTGCACTTTCCAATTGGATTTTACTGTGTGAACTGGCAAACTCCGTTGGGCAAGCGCATTGAAAGTGGGTTATTTAGTGTGTGTGACTGCAGCCAGAGAGAACCTTTTCTCCCTCCCTTGTAATACTAGAACTTGGGAAGGGGGGACTTGATGAAATCAATGGGCAACTGGTTCAGGCGGAGCCATCCTTCCTGAGCGAAGACAAAAACGTGTGAGCCAGAGGCTAAAAGCCTGTGAGCTGGCTCACACTGACTCAGCTTAGAGGGAGCACTGCTCCTAGGGCAACTGGTTGGCCGTTGTGTAAAATGATGCTGGACTAGATGGACCACCGGTCTGATCCAGTTCTTGTTTTCACAGTTCTTAGAGTGAAATCAGCAGAAACAGGGCGAGATCAGTTTTAGACTGAAGCAGCCTCTTATGAAAACTTGCAACAGGGAGACAGTAGTATGAGCACACAGAAGAATCAAATCAAATCGTAGCCCCGTGTATTGGTATGGGCGTTGCTTGGTTCCGGAACCCTAGCGAACCCTAGGGCAGTGTGCTTGTTTTGCACCCAGAACACTGTGTCACCTGGGTCTGCGCTGGCAGCACAACGTTGCAATCTGGCTCCTCCAGTTTTCTGTGATACGGCTGCTTCGAAGAATGCTCGTTTGATTGACAGCTGGGCAAGCGCCAGGTCGCTTTTTATTGTGGCACCGCCGTGTTGCATGCCGCAGAACACAAAAACACACTGAACAGGCACGGCTACTTCTCAGCTAGCTCTGCATGTGTGTGTGCATGCTTGAGCTGGCATTGGAGCATGGCGCTAGATAACAGGGAGATGAATCAGAACGAGGAGCTGCTTTCCGTGTTCACTCTGCAAGGTGAGGGGGCTCTTAAATATCGCTGTGGGAAACGGGTGTCCTGGTTGCGGGCTTTGCAGAAACATTCTCAAATGGCACAAGTACTTTGTCGGGTGGTAGTTGATGGTGGACATTGTGGACGAAGCTCTTCCTGAACCATTTCTAAAGTTGAATCATAGACCGCAAATCCCGTGGACTAGGAAATGGTATCTTCTTCGCAAGGGCTTCGTTTCTTTCCCTTTCCCCCCCCAAAGCAAGCCATAAATCATCAATAATGAGTCTGGCTGTTTGCCTTCCTAAGTTTCTTGGAGGAAGAGCAAGGCAAATACAAGATCCTCTCCTCTTTGGTTTTATCCTCACAACAACCCTGCGAACTAAGTTGGGCTGAGAGAGGGTGATTGGCTGACGGTCACCGGTGAGCTTCATAGCTGAACAGGGGTTCGAACTCGGCTCCCAGTCCTAGACCCGCTCTCTAACCCAGAAAACCTCACTGGGTCAGGTTCAAAATAGGTCTAGATGTGCAGTCGGCATTTTCTGTGTTGCTCCACATTAAAATCAGATTGTGCCCCGGTTACATTTTAGCCCTTGCCACAAGCTCCACCGAGTTCTTTTCTAGGCACAGCAAGGACACCCTTAACCAGTGGGCGGAGGGGAGGGTCAATAACATTGTCTGCCTCCCGCTCTCTCCCTCTTCTCTGTATCTAGCGAGGTCGCAAATTCCAGCACAGGAGGGGTGAGAGCACTTATCCTTCGAAGGATTAGAAGCTAAAATAAAATTCACCAAAACATTCACAAGCCATTGGAAGTTCAGTGGGAGGAAAGGAAAAAAGGAAGTACCTCTTCACCCAAAGAGTGATTAACACATGGAATTCACCGCCACAGGAGGTGGCGGCGGCTATAAGCATGGACAGCTTCAAAAGGGAATTAGAGAAGCACAAGTGGAGACCCGCAACAAAATGTTGCGTACTGGGCCTCGCTGTTCCTCCGGCCGCCCGGCTCCGAAGTGAGGCCCGAGTGGCTGCAGCCGCCCGAGCCTCGCTATCCCCACCCCCACCCGGCTCAGAAGCGAGGGCCAAGCGGCTGCAGCCGCCCAGGCCTTGTGCCCCCCCGCTCTGATTTAAATATCCCCCCGATATTTTGGGGTTTTTTTTAGATTTTTGTGCACACCTGGGGCCCGCCCCACGTGTGCACAAAACTCTCCCTCCCCCCCAGCTGCCCCCGGTGCGCGGATTTAGGTATCCGCACACCAGGGGGCAACTTCAGTATTAGATATATAGATATGGAGCAGAGGTTCATCAGTGGCTATTAGCCACAAGCTATAGATAAGGACTCTGGGGCAAGTGATACTCTACATTCTTGGTGCTTGGGGGGGGGCAACAGTGGGAGGGCTTCTAGTGTCCTGGCCCCACTGGTGGACCTCCTGATGGCACCTGGTGTTTTTGGCCACTGTGTTGGACTGGATGGGCCTTCGGCCTGATCCAACATTGGCATCTCTTATGTACTTAATGGCGTGGACGTGTAGGGTTAGTGTGAGATTTAGTGTACCTTTTTTAAAAAAGTATACCCTTTTTTTTAAAAAAAAGACTACAGCCTGACTTGGCTGTTTTGTTTTTTCCTCCCTTCCTATTTTGTTTTGCCTGCCTCATACTTTCTTGTGACCACCTAAAGCCCATGCCCAGAATGGGCTCCCTCTTACTTGACAGTTTTTAAGGGGACAAGAGAGCCAGTCTGGTTTAGTGGTTGGGAGCGCGGACTCTAATCTGGGGGGAACTGGGTGTGATTCCCCACTCCTCCACATGCAGCTGCTGGTGTGACCTTGGGTCAGTCACAAGTTCTCTCAGAGCTGTCCTCTCAAGAGCAGTTCTCAGTCAGAGTTCTCTCAGCCCCACCTGCCGCACAGGGTGTCTGTTGTGGGGAGGGGAAGGGAAAAGAGATTGTAAGCCGCTCTGAGACTCCTTCAGGTAATGAAGGGCAGGGTATAAATCCAATCTCTTCTCTCTTTAATGCTAGGCCTCCATACAAAGGGCCACCAGGGCTTTTGCGCTCTGTTTTGCAAGACATAAGTACCTGCTGCCTGGCCAGACTTCAGTCCAGGAAGGCTCGGGTGTCGTGTTATACGGTGTGCCAGCCACTGCAGGCAAAGATTTTTCCAGATCCTGAGATGTATCTAGCACTGTTGGAGCTTGCTGAAGAAACCATTTATTGCACAGACCCTGTCCATCAAGGACTCAGTACCTGGGCGGCATGCAGTGTTCTTCTGGAAACATGGGGGAATTCTGATTTTCTTGCTAAATGCAAATTGTCCTTGGAGGAGTAGGACACTTGAGTAGGACGAGCTGTCGAATGTGCACGGCTTTGTGTGGGCGAGGGCGTTTTGCTGATAGCAGTAGACAAACCACAAAAATGCACAAGCGTCCAGTTTTGTAATTGTCGTTGTTTTCTCCTTTCTCTTTTGCTTTTTATTCTGTCCTTCTCCAGCAGCTCTCCTTGAACTCCCTCCTTCTTCCTTGGCTGGATCTCACAAATGCCCACCAGGTAACTCAAGTTTCATCCCTTCCACGGCAAGAGATAGAAGTGGCTCGTTTATCATCGCTGCCAGCTCCTTTGTCGTTCTTTCTCAGCACTCTTTCATTTCATCCAGTTCCACTAACATGCTTAACAACTAATGCCTACAGATTTTTGCCATTCTTTTTGCTCTCAAATATTATATATCGTTATTATTTCGTGCTTCAAATTCCGTTATGCATACTCAGACTTATTGTTCCAGAAGCCACCTGTGTTTTTAATATGCTTCCCACTAATCCTCATGAGTTTTCTGTGAAGTTCCCAAGTACGTGACTCCCGTGATGACCTGTGCATTACTGTTCTGCGTGAACCACATTAAGGAAGCTCTTTTGTTTTTCAGTTTTTGGCACAGACAGCCGAGAGCAAGTGGTGAAAAACTGCAACGATGTGGAAGTGGTTACTCATCTGCTGGCGGAGGTACGGCTGCTTTTCTGTTCTTTAGCGGTGTTCGTTTTTACAGCAGATTGATCCTTCAGTACCAGATCCCCCGAAACGTTTTCAGGAAACAAAAGTGTTCTGAAACTTCAGTTTTGAGGCAGCTGAATTGCAGCAGGCTCGATCCTGAGCATAACTCGCATATTTCTTTATCCCACCTCTCCGTGCAGCTATTAGTGAGGCAGCTAGCAGTATTAACAAGGCTCAGGAAATGAATTAAAAATAAAACAACACACAAGCGACAGCCCCATAGCTATAAAGCTGACAGATTTCTTGTGCTATCAAGCGTCACTCCTGTAGTTAACAGATGGTGAGGTCTCAACCGGAAAGCAACGGAGCGTCGGGGCAAGAATTTTGAGAGGACCACATTACGTTTCAGAGACATGCCGATAGAGGGAGAGCGGCCATGTTCAGGGCATCGTGCTGTTGCCAAGGCCCCGATGCGTTCAGAGGCCCACCCACCAAGAGGCCGCGTTGGCCATCTTGGTCCTCACTAAGTCAGAGGCATCCCGCATCGGGCCGAGTGATGTGATCTGCCCTGGTGTATGTTGCGAAGGGAGCAGGGGACACCAAGGGACACTCCGTAGCTCACAGGCTCCCCTGCTTCTACCAGCAGGCACTTCTAGGTTATGTTTCCCAACAGGCCTCAATGCAGACTTCTGCTGAACATATCTGAGAGTACGTGTCAGATCCAGATGAGTGTTTCCATGGATGCAAGGTTTTCTGGCCATGGAGACTCCCCCTCCCCCCCAAAAATCCTGTTCTTAGGAAGATGAAGAGATTGGATTTATACCCCGCCCTTCGCTCAGGGTGTCAGAACAGCTTACAATCTCCTTCCCTTCCTCTCCCTACAGCAGACACCCTGTGAGGTAGGCGGGGCTGAGAGAGCTCTTTCGAGGACTGCTTTTGAGAGAACTTGTGACTGACCCAAGGTCACCCTTCATGTGGAGGAGTGGGGAATCAAACCCAGTTCTCCCAGATTAGAGTCTGCCACTCTTCACCACTACACCAAACTGGCCCTCTCTGCCAAGAGCAGAATATCGGGGGCATTTCAGGCCCCTGTGGGAGAAGAGGAGGAGGCAGGCGAATCACACTCCATAAAATCCTTGAGTCTGCGGAAACGCCTAGCCTGCCTCTCATCCTGTATCTTATTAAATAAGTCCCAGGGAGGGACGGCAGACCCATTTCTGATCAGTCAGTGTAACCATTGCAAGTTTCATGCTAATGAGAAACCCCTTGCATTAATTGCCTGCACCCGGTCAACGGAGTGTGCCCGTATTTGTGTAAGCATATTACTGTAGACAAGGGAGTGTTACTTTTCATATCCTGCCTTTCTCCCCCGAAGAAGAAGAAGAAGAAGAAGAAATGAGAAACCCCTTGCATTAATTGCCTGCACCCGGTCAATGGAGTGTGCCCGTATTTGTGTAAGCATATTACTGTAGACAAGGGAGTGTTACTTTTCATATCCTGCCTTTCTCCCCCGAAGAAGAAGAAGAAGAAGAAGAAGAAGAAGAAGAAGAGATTGGTTTTATACCCCGCCCTTCACTTGGAGTCTCAGAGCGGCTTACAAACTCCTTTCCCTTCCCCTCCCCACAACAGACACCCTGTGAGGTGGGTGGGGCTGAGAGAACTCTGACACAAACTGCTTTTTCAAGGACAGCTGTGCCAGAACTTGTGACTGACCCAAGGTCACATCAGCAGGTGCAAGTGGAGGAGTGGGGAATCAAACCCGGTTCTCCCAGATTAGAGTCCGCACACTTAACCACTACACCAAAGTACCTCATGACACAAACGTAAAGCTTGGTACAGAAGAAATGGGAGAAGTGAAGGATGAGGGCTTCTAAATACACATCAGAACAGCTTACAATCTCCTTCCCTTCCTCTCCCTACAGCAGACACCCTGTGAGGTAGGCGGGGCTGAGAGAGCTCTTTCGAGGACTGCTTTTGAGAGAACTTGTGACTGACCCAAGGTCACCCTTCATGTGGAGGAGTGGGGAATCAAACCCAGTTCTCCCAGATTAGAGTCTGCCACTCTTCACCACTACACCAAACTGGCCCTCTCTGCCAAGAGCAGAATATCGGGGGCATTTCAGGCCCCTGTGGGAGAAGAGGAGGAGGCAGGCGAATCACACTCCATAAAATCCTTGAGTCTGCGGAAACGCCTAGCCTGCCTCTCATCCTGTATCTTATTAAATAAGTCCCAGGGAGGGACGGCAGACCCATTTCTGATCAGTCAGTGTAACCATTGCAAGTTTCATGCTAATGAGAAACCCCTTGCATTAATTGCCTGCACCCGGTCAACGGAGTGTGCCCGTATTTGTGTAAGCATATTACTGTAGACAAGGGAGTGTTACTTTTTCATATACTGCCTTTCTCCCCAGAAGAAGAAGAAGAAGTGGAGATTGGATTTATACCCCGCCCTTTCCTCAGAGTCTCAGAGCGACTCACAAACTCCTTCCCCTTCCCCTCCCCACAATAGACACACTGTGAGGTAGGCGGGGCTGAGAGAGCTCTGAGAGAGAACTGCTCCTGAAACAGCTGTGCCAGAACTTGTGACTGACCCAAGGTCACATCAGCAGGTGCAAGTGGAGGAGTGGGGAATCAAACCCGGTTCTCCCAGATTAGAGTCCGCACACTTAACCACTACACCAAAGTACCTCATGACACAAACGTAAAGCTTGGTACAGAAGAAATGGGAGAAGTGAAGGATGAGGGCTTCTAAATACACAGTAGATCTCTACCCACCCCGCCACCTGTATCTGCTAGGAGACTCTCCTGCCAGCTGTAGGCTACGGCCTTCTGACTAAGAGGGTCACCGTCTGTATCATCACTGTATAGAATTCCGTGCCGTAAAATACGATAATGGCTGCTGGTTGAAATGGCTGTAAAAGTGAGACCAGCCAAGTTGACAGAGGATAGGTCCATCAGCGCCCATTGGCCACCAGAATGCCAAATGGGATCTCCTTGTTCAGAAGCAGCGGATCTCTGAATTACCAGTTGCTGGTGGGACAAACCAGGGTGAGACTGAATGTTGTTAGGGAGCTGCCTTCGTTTTTGCTTGAAGCTACTTTTAGTGTTGCTCTTCCCTTTCCTGTCTTAACTCAGAAGATCCACAAGTCCCTTATACGTTAGACTTGCACCTGCCATTTCAGACATGACGAAGCCACGCGTTGCACATCTTCTTTTTTGATTCTCACACTTGTGTCTTTTTAGATACGGTAGGGTGGTTTGGGGGACAACACCTGAGCCACGCTTGATGGGCATTAAAGGAAATACCATATGTACATAGTAAACAAAATGGATGTTTTGCATTCTTTGAATCGAATTTGAATCCCTGGCCCTCCCCTTCCTGTCACATGACTTCCTGTCACGTGCTTGCTGCTCAGTGGGGCCTGGGCCTGGAAAGGTTGAAGGCCACAGCCTCCGCAGAGAAAGAAATAAACTCTGTGTTGGTGTTTCTGAGCAGAGAGACCGGGACCTGGAGCTGGCAGCTCGAATCGGACAAGCCCTCCTCAAGCGGAACCATATGCTGACGGAGCAAAATGAAGCCCTGGAAGAGCAACTGGGCCAGGCGTTCGACAAGGTGAGCGGCTGCAGCCGAAGCCAGATGTGGGAAACGTTGTACTGCTTGATTGGCATCAGAAGCGGCAAATTGGGAGACAGGGCCCCTGTCTTCTCAGTGCTCTTGTGCGACGGGACAGAGCTGAGCGAAAGAGGGTGGTTGCTCAGGCGCAAGGGCTCTCTTGCAGTTAGCAGTTCAGCGCACTGAGTTACTGAGGAGAAAGCGGGTGAAACGCGGCTGTGGTGATGCCAACTGGGCAGTCGATGTGTGTATTGCTGTATGATCAGTTTACTCGCACCACACTTCAAGCATTGCCCTGTATGCCCTTCTTCCCATGCAGGGATTGAAACCGGTCCAAAGCTGAGGTGCGCTGCCACCCACATCCAGAAAGTTCATTTGTTCATTCATTCATTCTATATCCCGCTCCTTTCCCCGTCAAGCAGGGCTCAGGGCGGCTTCCAACAATGAAATATACAGTAAAATCAGTATTGCAGTTTTAAAATCCAAACCACAAATTAAAAGCCTAAATCATCCCTTTACCCAGCCATGCTGTTCCTTGAGACTCCTTTGGCCATCCAAGGACAGAGCTGGGAGGGAGGTTCAGTGGGCCACGATGGGAGGGGGCAGGGAGGGGAAGTTCCGCTCTGCAGTCCCCTGGCTGTGCTTCGGATCCAGCCCACTGGCTCTTAAGGTTAAAGACAAAAGGGGGCCGCAATACACAGCATTCAGAGGACTTTCCTTCCGTTTTCTGGCTTTAAGGCCAGATTTAGGGAACATCTCACCCCCCCAGAACTGCCGTGTTTTACTAATTGCTTCATTTATTAGGCAATGGAGTCAATATGATTATTTAAGCAATTTGCTTAATGTCTCTTTGAGATCCTTATTTGATGGTGCTGTAATGTCCAAAACACCCCACAGTAACTGTGGACTAAACAAGGGGAAAAGGGACAAGAGTCCAGGAGGAGCACCTTAAAGACTACCAAAATTTGTGGCAGGGGAGGAACTTCCGTAAGTCACTGCTCACTTCTTCAGTAGAAAAGATCAAGAGTCCAGTAGCCCCTTAAAGACTAGCAAAATATGTGGCAGGGGATGAACTTCCGTGGCTCATGAAAGCTCGTCCACTGCCACATATTTTGTTAGTCTTTAAGGTGCTCCTGGACTCTTACTCTTTTGTACTGCTACAGACAGACTAACACGGCTACCCATCTTGATCTGTCCCCAAAGGGAAATGAGGCGTGGGGGGATGTCTTATCCCGTGTCTCGCTATAGGGGCCATGCAAAGTCGTCCGTGTTCACTAAACAAAAGCTTTTTTTCTTCCGACTCAGGCCCACCAGCTGCAACACGAGCTGACGAAGAAAGATGAACTGCTCCGGGTCGTGTCCATCGCTTCCGAAGAAAGTGAGACCGACTCCAGCTGTTCCACGCCCCTCCGCTTCAATGACTCCTTCCACCTGTCTCAGGGACTCTTGCAGCTGGATATGCTGCAGGACAAACTCAGGGAAATGGAGGAAGAGAACCTGGCTCTTCGAACAAAGGTAAGTGACATCCACATATCGAACATCGGGGAAGAAGGAACACTAAAGGAAGGCTCTGAAGCTTTGTGTGATGGGCTCTGGTTGGGGGAGGGGTTCTCTATAAAACACAGTGGCTGTGATCCACCTGCAGCCCTGCTGTTAAAGAGGGAACAAATAGGGGGAAAACTGCATTACTATCCTTTGGATGGCTTACTTACCACTGTTCGATTGAGGATGAGTATACTGAGGACAATCAATTTCTAAATCTCATCAAGGCACGTAAGCAGAGAAGCCTGATGGAACGTAATAAATCTCTGTTTGCCCATTGTAGTAAACAAGGATGGTGAAGCTGCATACGGTAGTTCCCTTTGGCTTTAGGTGTGATTAACCTCTTCTATCACGCAAGCGTATTTTTAAAAGATTTCTCATTCATTGCCCCCTCTTCAAACCCTTCTGGATATTCAGTGTACTTATAATCACGTTATACTGAATGGCACATTTCTCCTTCCCAACTGTGCATTTCTAAAATATGAGTGAATTAAAGATCTGGGTTGGCTCCCACACAGGGCTTTTTTTTGTAGAAAAAGCCCAGCAGGAACTTATTAGCATAATTGGCCACACCCAACAACAGAAATGTATTATTAGGCCACACCCCTGACAACACAGGTCATTAGCATATGAGGCCACACCCCTGTGTTACCAGAAGTGTGCTCATCCAGCCACACCAACCTTTGGCTTCTTATTCTGTTTACCTTGTTTGTTGTCAAAACCCAGGGCTTTTTTTGTAGCAAGAACGCCATTGCATGTTAGGCCACACACCCCTAATGTAGCCAATCCTAATGAGTGTCTGCTGTTGGGTGTGGCCTGTTATGCTAATGAGTTCCTGCTGGGCGTGGCCAACTCAGGAGCCAGCCGGAACTCCGTTCCTGTGCGTTCCTGCCCAAAAGTAGCCCTGCTCCCACAACTGAATATGCATACGTATGAGCACATGAAGCTGCCTTATACTGGATCAGAGCACTGGTCCATCGGGGTCAGTACCGTCTATTCCAGGGGTGGCCAAACTTGCTTAACGTAAGAGCCACACAGAATAAACGCCAGCTGTTTGAGAGCCACATGAACAAATATTACATGTTTTTACTGAGAAATATGCAAGTTTGCTTTTTATTAACATTCAGCGAGAGTGCCAAAAATAATAACAAAAGTGGTCAAAGCAGATATTGATAATGATGTTTCTTTGTCCGATTATCATTTGTTTGCTAGTGATATTTAGCTTCCCCAGCCGCCCTGCCGGGAGCTGCACAATATGTGTGAAAGAGGTGCATGTGGCTCCCGAGCCACAGTTTGGCCACCCCTGGTCTATTCAGGCTGGCTGCAGCTCTCTAAGGTCTCAAGTAAAGCTCTTTCAGATCACCTATGAACTTATCCTTTTTTAACTGGACATGCTGGGGGATTGAACCTGGGACCTCCTGCCTGCAAAGCAGATACTCTACCACTGAGCCATAGCTGTTCTTCTCATATCTCTCGTGTGCAATGTCTTAAAAACATACGTGGTTCCTTTCTGTCATCGTAAAGTACAGTTGTAGCTGTGGCTTAAATATTGCCAATGTTGATGGTACTATCATAGTGAGAACTCTTTTTATCATTTTAGTGCATTCTGTTATAGCATATTAAACTTTAACCACATGTTTGATTTTTACACATTAATTTTTACCCCCTTGAAGGCATGCCAAGATGAATTGTGGCACCTGTTACACGGGTATGCAATCACCTCTGCATTTACCTTGCTTTGGAAACTGAACTGGCGATAAGATCAGCACACAGCTCAAAATAAGACCATTGTTGTCATGGTCACCGTGCAGTCCCACATGGGCACTGTGCCTTTCACCAAGCAAACTTTTTGTGTGTTATTTTGCTTTTTGTGTTATCGAGTACTCAGTTCTTATGTAAAATACTTTCCACAATTGCTTTTTGTGTTATCAAGTACTCAGTTCTTATGTAAAATACAATTCCACAATTTGCAATCTTCTTATGTAAAATACTTTCCACAATTGCTTGTGGAGTTTGCAATCCAGTCCACATTTATGAGTAAACCAAAGAATGGGCAGTCAAATTCCCTGCCGTATCACCCCCTTGCATGTATGTGGTGTTTATGTGCAGAAGTTTCCTATTGCTGACTTTCCCACTTCAATCAGCAGCCATCGTGCATGCAGAAAGCTCCACATGCAGGGCAACTGGATATACCTTGGGGGTTGTCTTTATTGGTACAGTCGAACGCCTATATTTTCAGTCTAATGGAGTCCTCTGTTATGACACAAGCTGTCTATTCCAGAGTATGGGCAGCTGATCTTCATAATCTTCCATGTGTATGTAGGTAGCAGGCGGAAGTAGGGGAGCACGGCTTAACAAAAGACAAATTGCAGAATTGTTTTAATTCGCAAGCACAGTTGCATTCAGCTTCTGATTTGGAGGTGGGAGAAGATGGAATATGTCCAGATGTAGGACCATCTTGAAAGTAACGTGAGGTCTTTTGAATGTCCCCGAAGGCCTGCCATTTGAAGACCGAAACCATGAGCTACGAGGAGAAGGAACAGCAGTTGGTCAGTGACTGTGTCAAAGAGATCCGTAAGTATCTAGATGAGAACAGAAGTATGTTTTTGTCTTTGAATATAAATTCATCAACTGTTCTCTCATAACGTCCATGTCAGTTCTGTACAGCCAGTTAGCCATGCTAGAATTGGGCCAGTTTGAAGATTTTTAAGCTTCTGCTATCGGTATAACCATGTAATCGCTCTAAGCATGAACCCCTCTGTCCTGTCTGATATAAATTATTAATACACAGCAATTTATATTTTTTCTACTTTAGATTTATAAGAATATGTGTACACTCAGCAAGTGATATATTTTTCTAGTTTAAATTTGTAAAAATATACAAAGACGCAGCTAAAAGAGAAAAGATTGGGTGTCACAACATGGACAGTCCATTACAAAGCAGTTTCTTACTGGTATGGGCAACATTATAGTTTTGTTGAGAAGGTCCTTCATATCTTTTCCATGTTTCCCTCCCCAGTCATCCTTCCTTACCCGGGAATAGTTGATTTCTGTGCTCCCAAAACCCACACTATGGTGCTGGAGGAGACTCTTGAGAGTCCCTTGGACTGCAAGAAGAACAAATCAGTCAATCCTCAAAGAAATCAACCCTGACTGTTCCCTGGAAGGCCAGATAATGAAACTGAAGCTCAAATACTTTGGCCACCAAATGAGAAGGGAGCACTCACTGGAGAAGACCCTGATGCTGGGAAAGATTGAAGGTCAAAGAAGACGGGGACGGCAAAGGATGAGATGGTTAGACAGTGTCATCGAGGCAACGAACATGAAACTGAGCAAACTTCAGAGGACAGCGGAAGACAGGAGGGCCTGGCGGGATCTAGTCCATGGGGTCGCGAAGAGTCGGACTCGACTGTGCGACTGAACAACAACAACTGAGACTCCTTCGGGTAGTGAAGGGCGGGGTATAAATCCAGTCTCAGCAGAGCTACGCTTATGGAAGATGGAGAAGGGGCAACTTCACCCCCTTTTCAGTGCAGTCCCCCACCCACATGGGTGCCGTGGGTAAGGGAGCCAAGAAAATATTGTGATCATATAGGTCCAGCAATCCAAGGGTGCAGTATTTATCTACAGTATATCTACAGTATTTACACTATATCTACAGTATTTATAGTCTCCCTTTCTTACTGAGATTCAAGGTGGACTACACAATACAAGTCAATATCATCAACAGTCTGGAACATTAGATAAACAATGCAGAACTGGATTGCAGAAATTTGAAAGCAAGTAGAAATCTGCGTGGCTCAAGTGGTTAATACGCTGAACTGCAGGCTGTGGAAGGTCGGTAGGTCAGCAGTTCAAGACCCAAGTGTGCCGCATGATGGAGTGAGCTCCCGACTCTAGTTCCAGTTCCTGCCAACCTAGCAGTTCGAAAGCAAGAAATTGCAAGTAGATAAATAGGTACCACTTCGGTGGGAAGGTAACAGCGTTCCGTGCGCATTGGTGTTTAGTCATGCCGGCCACATGACCACAGAAATGTCTTCGGACAGCGCTGGTTCTTCGGCTTTGAAACGGAGATGAGCACTGCAACCCTAGAGTCGGATTCAACTGGCTTTCGAGCAAGGGAACCTTTACTTTAGAAATCTGATGCAGAGCTGAAACAAAGCATAAGCATCTAAACATGAATGTGTTAAACGATGCAGCAGTTACATAGTAGAAGCACCCTTAACAGCAATAGAGACAATACATGATAGTATAGCTTTGAGCCATTACAGTTCTAGGTCACTGCAAAATAGCTAGTAGAATTAAGAAAAACAGAACTTAAGGACGGTTTTGCAAAAATATGGGAGCTTTTCCAAAAAAGTCCTATTTTTGAACTTCATCTGCAGCAGGTAACTGATATTTTAAAAATTGTTGTCGTCATGACAGTGCCTGGCTGTTGTGCCATGGGGGTTGCGTCTTTGTATTCTGTGAAAGCCTAGAGGTGGCTTTTTAGTATAGATTCTATATCGCTGCTGTCTGAATTTAATGTACCCTGCTTAATATTTTAGGGGAAACGAATGCTCAAATCGTCCGAATGAGCGAGGAATTGGCAGGAAAGAATGAAGAGCTGCTCCATTATCAGGAAGAGATCTCCTCCCTCTTGGCCCAGATTGTAGATCTTCAGCATAAGATCAAAGAGGTTTGTGTCCTTAGAGTCCAGGGAAAGGAGGGATTGGGTTCCAGACAATTTGTTGCAAGAAGGGAGTGGTTGTTGCTTCAGAGAATATTTGGAGAGGAAGGGTGTGATGATAACTCTTTTTGTCCCCTCAGCATGTCATTGAAAAGGAAGAGTTGAAACTTCATCTGCAAGCTTCCAAAGATGCACAGAGACAGCTGACGGCGGAGGTATTGTTCGTTTTTGTTGTTGTTTTTTTACTTACACATTTGGAATGTGAGGCCATTGGCAGAAGAAGGAAGAACAGGAACGTAGGCTTTTCTTCTTAAATATGTGAAAAGAAACATAATCAGATTACTTTTTCCTTACAACGTGGGCAAAATTTAATGGTCAACTGAAAAACTCGCTGGGGAGAGAAGTAGGCAAATTCCTGAAAATAGCATGCTGAAACATTGGAGGACCCCTTCCCGTGATGTTTTGGCCTCCAGGTCCACCCCTGCCTCCCCCCAGCTTTGCTTTAGCAAAACCTCATCTTGGAAGGCTCAGCAATGTCGTTGAGGTTGCCTAGCAACCTCCAAAATGTCCCCCGAGAGCTTAGTGGGCATTCTTTTGTTAAAGCTACAGGTGCTGTTTCTATTATATTGGGGGAGTTTTAATCCCCCGCTTTATCTTTCTTTAAGATTACAGATTCTTCCACAAACCTGGGATTTCCTTCAGGTCTGTAGAAGAATCCCACCCACCCCCAACGATCCCTAGCTCCATTTACAGCCCTGTTCATCGTATCCTCTATGACATGGTTCAGAATTAGATTTATGATGCATGTACTTGAACAAAGCAAGAGGACATAAAATAGGGGCTGAGGGATCTCCAGATAATACTTCTTCAGCTGATCTTTTCCATCCTCGGCCAAATGATTTATTGCCTGCCTGTATTTTTTTTACAGCTGCATGACTTGCAAGAGCGGAACGTGGAGTGTCTGGGGATGTTGCACGAATCGCAGGAAGAAGTGAAAGGACTGCGCAGCAAGGCCAGCCCCGCTGCTCTTCTCTGCCACCCTCAGTCATGCGGAGCGTTTCCTGGGGTAAGGTAACCAGCGCTTCCAGGGAACGTAGCAAATCCCGCTCATGGAGCAGGATCTTTGATGCCGCCAACCGGTTTAAGTAACACGAAACCCCAAGGTCAAAGTCAGAGGTGGCCGCCCTTGTCTCTCCAAACACCAAAGACAGGGAGCTGGCAGCTGCCGACCGGGTGTAATAATCACCTCTGACGCTTCTCTGCCTTAAATTTAGCCTTCAGTTTGTTTTGGAAGAAAAAGAACTTCCTGAGTCTCCCACTCTCATCAATATTTATCACCATCAAAGGAAGGAGACCTGTGTCTTTAAAAAGTGCCAGTATCATGCTTTTAGCCAGTATCATGCAGGAGATTTCAGAGCCGTGAGAGTTCCAGGAGAGACCCTGATGCCTCACTTTGCCGTTCAGTTTCTTTGCTGTAATTTTATTACAGAGAGCCCTTCTGCAGTCCTCTGCCAGTTTGGTGTAGTGGTTAAGAGCATGGGTTGCAATCTGGGAGAACCGGGTTTGATTCCCCACTCCCCCACACACAGCTGCTGGTTCGACCTCCTGGGGTCAAGACAAATGTCGACAATCCCGACCTTGCCTAGAAACAAATACTGAAAAAACAGTCATGAGAGTCTGACCCACAAATCAAGATAGTCAACAAGACTTACAAAAAAAATTATCTTCTGTATATTGTTGCCAATAGATGCTACATGGCAGTGATCAAATTCCATCAAATCATAAGAAAATCCTTGCATAAGGATATATCAACGTCACCTCTGGATTTTATAACGCCATTTCAAAAAAACGGATCTTCCTCAGGAAATATTCTGTAAAGTAGTACAAGAGCTTTCATGCTCATAAAGTGTTATACACAGAATCAGGAGAAATAATGCATTTAGTGGTAGGACACTGATCTCACAAGTATTCAGGCGGCAAACTTGCTACTCAGTTTCTGATGGATGCCAGGAGACGCGTGTTGACTGTCTTGATTTGTGGGTCAGACTCTCACGACTGGTTTTTTTCAGTATTTGTTTCGTGACCTTGGGTCAGTCATAAGTTCTTTCAGAGCTGGTCACTCGGGAGCCATGTTCTCTCTAAGCTGTGGAGTCCTGTGAGCAAAAATTCTACCTTGTGAGCTACTGGCATTAAAGTTGTGAGCAGGTGATTTGGCTACTGCATAAATTAGTTTGTCCTGGAGCCATCCTCCCTGAGCTAAGACAAAAATGTGTGAGCTGGAGGCTAAGAAACTGTGAGCTAGCTCACACTAACTCAGCTTAGAGGGAACACTGCTCAGGAGCCTTTCTCAGTCAGAGCTCTCTCAGCCCCACCCGCCTCACAGGGTGTCTGTTGTGGGGAGGGGAAGGGAAAGGAGACTGTAAGCCGCTCTGAGACTCCTTCGGGTAATGAAGGGCGGGGTGTAAATCCAGTCTCTTCTCTTATTCTGTTCTACCTGTTAGGTAAAGACCCCACTGCCTGCCTCCTCCCTCTACACAGGTGTTCTAGCAGCAGCGGGAAAGGCCGGAACAGATGCCTCAGATCTTTAGTCATCTGTTAATCCAGACAGTCTGTGGAAAAAGCAGCTGCCTCATTCTCCCTCTTCATTTATTTTGGTGCGCGGGGGGGGAGGGGGACGACAGGGGAAGACAGCACAGTGTTGAGTCACCAAAGGCCATGCTGTAAGAAGACTTTTGGTCACAGGTAGTGAGGTCAGCAACAAAGAGTCTTGTGGCACCTTAAAGATCCATACGCTTATTGCGGCAAAAGCCGCCACGTGCCAGAACTCTTCGACAGATGCATGCAGTTGGCAGGGTCACACCCAAAGCTGCAAACAGTACACAGGGTGAGGGGTGGTTATTACAAAGAGGAGCCAGAAGGCCCAGTCTCCCAGAACACAGGTGTGTTATGTAACCTTGTGGTGCCCAGATGAAGACAAGGTCCAGTGGAAAGAGTAAAGGGTCCGATCTATGCAGGTATGGACTTCTTCTCCCAAGAGATTAGCAAAGCAGGGGGAAGTGGATCACCGCACATGAATCTGCAAGGGGGCACAGCCGGGGAGCCTTCCGCCGTGAGCCGACCATTCCCAGACTTCAGTCAGGTCTGGTCGGGAGAAACCCTCGAATGACCTGTAGCTCAGCAGCTTCTCTGAAAGTCTTCTTCAGCCTTGAGATTCTTTGTCGTTCGGGCTGCTACCCTGATGTATTGGGAGCTGCTCGAAAACCATATAAGTGGGTGTTGCCGCAAGAGATGTGGGCCTTAAAGGAATACAGAAAGAGAACTTTCAAGAACTGTATCTGGTGTTTTCGATCACAGTAAGATGTATACAGGGCTATTTTTGGGCAGGAACGCACAGGAACGGAGTTCCGGCTGGCTTCCAAGTTGGCCACACCCAGCAGGAACACATTAGCATAATAGGCCACACCCAACAGCAGAAACTCATTAGGATTGGCTACATTAGGGGTGTGTGGCCTAACATGCAAAGGAGTTCCTGCTACAAAGAAGCCCTGGGTTTGGACAACAAACAAGGTAAACAGAATAAGAAGCAAAAGGTGGGTGTGGCTGGATGACCACACTTCTGGTAACAAGGGGGTGTGGCCTAATATGCCAATGAGCTGTGCTGTCAGGGGTGTGGCCTAATATGCTAATGTGTTTCTGTTGTTGGGTGTGGCCTATTATGCTAATGAGTTCCTGCTGGGCTTTTTCTACAAAAAAAGCCCTGGATGTATATATGCCCTGACCTAGATGGCTCAGGCTAGCCTGATCTTAGAAGCCAAGCAGGGTCAGCCCCGGTCAGGTACTTGGATGCGAGAGCGTTAAAGAAGTCCAGGGTTGTGCTGCAGAGGCAGACAATGGCAAACCACCCCCGAATGTCTCTTGCCTTGAAAACACGGTGGGGTTGCTATAAGTTAGCTGTGGGTTGATGGCACTCCCCACCACCATGTGTGTGTGTGTGTTTGCAATTTCTCGGCCTAGTCAGGATTCAGTTTTATCCCTCATACATGATTAGAGTGTCTTTAAAAACAAAAACAAAACTTGCACTGTAAAATGATTGCTTACTGTTTGGTGCATTAAACCAGTAGCGATTTTTATTGTGAGCAGCAGACTCCAGTTAAATGGAAGACTAGGTTATGGAGTGCTCTTATCTTTTGTTGTGCTCAAGTGGTGTCTGATTCATTCATTCACAATCCCTTTCCTCCTCCTCGTGATTGGGATTCAGCAGTTGCCTGATGTGAGAAGCACCAGTTTTTGCTGAAACAATCCACTTTAGCATCCAGTGTTCTCAAAGATCCAGTAGCATTGCAATTCTTCCCAGTTTTCGGTATGCAATGTTGTTTTGTGGTAGTTGAATTCATCGGTAAGATAAATGTCAATCTCTTCAGCACTAGTGAAGTGGAACCTGTTAACTCCGATTTTAGCTAGGCTTACAGTTGCTTTCCTGATCCGGGTTTTATAATTACTTTTCTGAAGCTGTACAAATGGCACTGTTATTTCTACAATGATGTAATGGTGGGAGTGGTTGCTGGAGGAATGCTTGAGGTGGTAGACACCTTCACCTGATTTGGATGAAGAAGATACAACATTTTTCCTGTGCTTTTCTAGAATGAATCCTGTCTGTTAATACATGAGACAGAATGTGTTTGTACCTTTCTAAGCTGCTGACCAGGAGTATTTCTTGTATTTATACTGAAAGAATCTAAGCCAAATAGTAAAAGGGGGCATTGAAAATGTTGGCGAAGTACTCAGGGCGGGGGGATTGCAGTGAATGTAGATCAAGACTCCAAAGATGCCGTTTAACTTGGAGAAACAAATTGAGAGTCCAGGGGGGCACCTTTAAGACCAACAAAGTTTTATTCAAGGTATCTCATATGTTGAGGGCCTTGTTCAGGTGACACCCTACAAATGGGCAAGATCAACAACTGCCCATACTCATTCTTTCTGTGTTGTGGCCTCTACCTTGGGAAATGGCCTGCCTGAGATTAGGAAGGCTCCCATGCTCCTGTCTTTCCACAAACTATGTAAAATGGAGTTGTTGAGAGCTTTTCTATTATGGTGACAGGGATATACTGTAACACAGTAGTTTAGAAGGCACTTTATAAAAGGACTATGGAGTATGTCACTGTGTATAGGACATATCAGTTTGCTGCATGTACTACCCTGTTGTCATTTTACTGTTTTCTGCTGATATGATACCATTTTTCTTTATTATTTCCAGAATATGGAGAAACATAATAGTTTCCAATTGGCAAAGGTATCGTCAGACAAGGATGCATTTTATCGCTCTGTCTCTTCGGTCTGTATGATGAACATATCATAAGGAAAGCTGGATTAGATTTAGATGAAGGTGGAATGAAAACTGGTAGAAGGAACATTAACAATTTGAGATATGCAGATGACACCACATTATTGGCAGAAAAAAGTGTAGACTTGAAATTACAACTGAAGAAGGTTAATGCAGAAAGTACCAAAGCAGCATTACAGTTGAACATCAAGAAGACAAAAGTAATAACTACTTGGGAATTACACAACTTTAAGGCTGATGATGAAGAAATCGAAATTGTTCAAGATGTTCTATTTCTTGGCCTCATCATCAACCAAAAGGGAGACTGCACCCAAGAAGTCAGAAGGAGATTAAAACTGGGGAGGGCGGCCATAATGGAGCTAGAAAAGATCCTAAATGTAAGGATGTGTTGCTGGTGACCAAGATAAAGTTAATTCATGCCATAGTATTCCCCATTTCTATGTATGGGTGTGGAAGTTGGACAACGAAGAAAGCTGACAGGAAGAAAGTAGATTCCCTTGAAATGTGGTGTTGCTGGAGAGTTTTACGGATTCCGTGGACTGCCCAAAAGACAAATAAGTGGGTCCTGGACCTGATCAAGACAGAACTCTAGAAGCTAAAATGGCTAAACTGAGGTTATCGTGCTTGGGTCACATTATGAGAAGGCGAGTATGATGGACCCCTTTCACTCTCCCCGGACTGGCGCGAACTTTCCCGCGAAAATTCTTTGGTTCCCTGCTGTGACTGAGCAGCCCTTGGTAGCGTGCAAATAATAAGAGGTTTTTGAAAAAATTTCTGTCCCATCCTGTCCCACAGAGTATAGTTCAGCTTTCAGCCCAGCCCGAGGAACTTGTTGTGGAAAAGCTGGACCCCACTTTTTATTTCCCTTTTGAAATGGCACTGGGATGGTTTAATGGTAGAACAAAAGAGCACGTTTATTCTACAGGCAGGGATTGAATAGGCCAGTCAGGTATTGGGATTGCTGAGGTAAAAGTTGTTGGTAATACAGAACTCACTTCTTTGAACAGGCAAAATGATGTTATTAAAGGTTATTTTCAGGTATTCTTGGTTCTTAGTGCTTTTAGAAAGTGGGCAGGACCTGGTGGTGCTGTTGCCAGCAAGGCTTCTGATTGGCCCCTGAGATTTGATAGGCTGTGGAGGTTTTTTTAAAAAAAAGTTGCCTTGGCAGCAGCTTGCCACCACACAAGGATCTTCCCTGTCCCAACTGACGTTAAGCTGGAGCAGCCATTTTGTAGCTCATTGCACCTCCATTAGCAGCCGTTTCATGGCTGTACTCGCCACCGTGTGTCAGAATTCCAAAAGTGCCTACAGGCCCAAAAGGGTTGGGGACTCCTGAGCTACCTCATTCCGACGTTAACGCTGGTGTTGCAGGCCCTGTGGCCTCATAGCTCCTCCCTCTGCCAAAAGGGTGAATGAGGAACCCGAGGTCTGGGAAGAAGAGAAGGCGGCATGGGGATTCTTCAGCCGAACCCAGACTTCCCGGGTCACTTTAGCAATGTAAGAAGGACCCCGCAGTGCAGTGACTCCCACACCAAAAGTGTAACATCAGGAAGAATAAGGTGACTCTGAAGCCTGGCTAGAGCCCCTCAGAAGCCAGGTCCAGCCTGGGATAGCGCCTGCGTTGCTGCGTCTGTGTTGCGTTTCCTCTCCCTGGATTCTAAGGCGTATGGTGAGGCGTGCGCCATCGCTTCCAGCCTTTTGAAATGAGTCGGCCATGCCGAGTGACCCATCTGTGTCTTGCGACTGCCTCAGTGTGTGACAGGCTTGCCAGGTCTCCTGCTATAATGGAGACCTCCTCAGGGGCCCCTCTGGCAGGGGGTTGGAAGTGAGGGGTGCCAGCAGACAGCATCCCTTCCAGCACAAACCCGAAGTGATTCCATCACACAGGGGGCTCTCTATGATTCACCCAAAGCTATAGAGCTTGGGGTGAATCCAGTAGCGTCGTTCCATAGTGTGATGATGTCACTTCCGGGTTGGCACGAGAAGTGACATCATCCTTGGATTTACCAGCTGTGGCTGGCAGTCCTAATATGAATTACTGGGGGTGGGTGAAAGACTTGGGAGCTGTTGCAGCATAATGTTCCCTCTAAGCTGTGCACGTAAGCGGCCGCTCATCAGGCCTGTAGCCAGGATTTGGGGACTGGTGGGGCTGCCATTATTGGCCATAATGAAAGGGGTGGTGTGCACCCCCCTCTCTCTCTCCCCGCCTGCAAGAGTTGACAGCTGCTACCCATGAGAAATGCAGTGGGCGGAACACAGCCCTGTGACCTGTGATAACCTTGGCCTTGGATCCTGAGCTGGGTTCTGTCAAGGACTCTGGTGATTTAAAAAATCTTTTGGGAGGAAGGGGGGGGGGGGGGGCTTTAAGAAGTGGGGGCCTTTAAGGAAGGGGGCAGAGCTCCCCGTAGCCCCACTGCAGCTACTTGCCAGCATCTCCTTAACACCGAAGCCCTGCTCGGCAGCAATCTGCCCATTGTAAGATTACTAAACAACAACCCGGGATCACAGTGTATAACACAGAAAATACAATAAACAAACACTACGATATGCTGGGTAACACATTTAGTAAAACATTTTGCAATCAACATGGAAGTCCTATAGCACAATATAAAGAAGTGCATCCGTTTGGGTATTGCAAAGAAGAGTCCATCCTAACGACATTACTACTGAGCACTTGGATGTGGGCTCATTTTGTCAAATCCTTCCTCAGGAGTATTCTTACTTTCTTCAAGGTTCGCAGCCTCTTGTTGCAACTTGGTGTTTATATTGGGGGCAAGCCAGTCCTTAAACTCTTCTCTAAACAGATGCAAAAGCCTTCTGAATCTGGCTGGCCAAAATGCTCTCTGCAAGCCTCAGGGATATTTTCTCCAGAATTATCATCCCGGAATGAACCATGGTTAAGTGCTTATATTGGGAGCAAGCCAGTACTGAACCTCTTCTCTGATGCAAAAGCCTTAGCTGGCATATCACAGTGGTTGCTTGTTGCATTTTCCACCGTAAGATGCTTTGCTGGGTAGGGACAAAGCCAATTAGAGGGAACATTGAATACCTAACATAGATTCTAGCGAGGAGAAGACAGAAGGAGTTGCTGTCAGATTCAGCAATGGGGGAAAGGAATCAGAAACAGAGTAAGAACAAAGACGGGCAGAAGAAAAAAGAACCCGAGAAGTATGTGTGCAGAAAGATAGGTTAGAAAAAGAGAAGGGATAATGGGTTATGAAATGGGGGCAGCTATATGGAAGGAAACAAAAAGTGGTAACAGTGGATGTAGAGATCTCTTGCATGGGGGAAAAAGGAAATAGTTAAAGCATGGAAGTGCAAAGAGACCTGTGATGATTGGAGAGGAAAGATGATAGCACAGTGGGGTACAGAGAGAACAAAGTAGGTGACTGGGAGATGGGGCTGGGGAAACCTGTGTCTGGGGAAATGGAGAAAGAGGCAGGTGGCTGAGGTGTGCGAGTCCTAACCTGTGGTGGTATGGAGACAGTGCGGAGAGACCATGCTATGAGGCGTGGGCATGGAGGAGTGGTTTGGGGACAACTCATAGAACGGAGGTTCTGGAAGTAACTGCAGTATCCATGATTTCAGTACCGTACTTGCACGTTTCTTCCAAAACTATCTTTGCAGTCATTTTTTTTAAAATATCCATTTTCCGCTTCGTTCCTTCTGTAGGATCCAGCAGAAACGTGTATTTGATACTGTCAGAGCCGCTAATGATACCCGCGTCCGTCTTGCCCCACTGCCCATTCCGGGGTCGAACCGTTCCAGCGTCGTCATGACATCAAAGCCCTTTCACTCTGGCTTGGGACAGGTTGAAGGAGAGGCACGTCCCACTCGGAGGAGCAGCCCAGAGAGCATTGCCAAGTAGGAAGTGAATCTGAGTTGGGATATCATCATACCAGACTGCTTCCCCCGGGGAGCTTCCTGTGTTAGGCCAGTGCATGGATGGGTGGGGGTGGAGGAGTTCATGCTACTCCCATCGACACTGGAAGGGACAGCGTTTTACCATTGTTTTCTGTTTCACGTATTGCTCTGTTTTCTCTCCGCTGTGAACATTTTTTCAACATCCCTCCAAAGTATGAGGTGAACACACATTTCTCCTCTCGATAACGTTACTTAAAACTAAGCTACATATTAGCGGATCCCTGATTTGTTTTTCAAAAGCAGCTGGGGGGTTGGATTAGTCCACAGTGCTGTGGGAGAGGAGGAGGAGGAGGAGAAGATTGGATTTATACCCTGCCCTTCATTACCTGAAGGAGTCTCAGAGCGGCTTACAATCTCCTTTCCTCTCCCCTCCCCACAACAGACACCCCGTGAGGTAGGTGGGGCTGAGAGAGCTCTGAGAGAACTGCTCGTGAGAGAACAGCCCTGAAAGAACTTGTGACTGACCCAAGGTCACACCAGCAGCTGCATGTGGAGAAGTGGGGGAATCAAACCCGGTTCTCCCAGATTAGCGTCCGCGCTCCTAACCACTCCACCAAACTGAGAAGTTAACATGCACACACAGAGAGAATTTCTTGAGAGAGATAGCCCTTGGAGCTAGGGTTAGTCATGGGGGCATGTGTCAAAATCCTGCTCACTGAAGATCCTGTCCCTGATCCAAATAACTCCCCCTCTGCTCCCCTGCAACAATGCTGTGTAATGTTAAAAAAAATTACGTATCTCCCACATAATATGTGGTGCTCTGTCCACTTCATAATGTATTTTGCATAGTTAGACTATTACAGAAAAGGTAACTCCCTCAGTGAGCAATAAGGAAGGCTGCTTTACCTTTACGGTGCAGACCTTTTTTGCTGAGATCTGCAGTATACTCGAAATTTCATCCACTGTGGATAACAATTCAATTACCTTTACATGTAATGATGATAGTGTAGTGTTTTAAGATAGGCTGAGCAGGGCGTGGAGTATCCAGCAGTACGTCCGGCTGAACGGTACACGGAGTTTCTAGCTGTACAACAGTTGCCCTACCCGCAGTTACAAACAAACCATGGTTTGGCGGTTTGGCTGTAACCGTAAACTGCAGCTTCCCCAAAACCAAGGAGGGAGTTTGAATAGGAGCAGGAGTGAGCGTGAGAGCTGTGAACATAAGAAGTTGAGCCAAGACGTGGCCTACACTTTGGGGGTTGTATCCATGCTGGGTCAGGGAGCCAGTTTGGTGTAGTGGTTAAGAGCAGTGGCCTCTAATATGGAGAACCAGGTTTGATTTTCCCACTTCTCCACATGCAGCTGCTGGTGTGACCTTGGCTTAGTCCCAAGTTCTCTCAGAGCTGTTCTCTCAAGAGCAGTCCCCACTTCTCCACATGCAGCTGCTGGTGTGACCTTGGGTTAGTCCCAAGTTCTCTCAGAGCAGTTCTCTCAGAGCTCTCTGATCCCCACCTACCTCACAGGGTGTCTATTGTGGGGAGAGGAAGGGAAGCTGCTCTGGGACTCCGATTGAAGGGCAGGATATGAATCCAGTCTCTTCTTTCTTCCTTGAATTCCATGCATTGGCTATAGAAGTAAGGCTGGCAAACTGGATGTTGCCCAGTGTATTGCTTGGGAAGGCTCTTTTAAAAAAATGGAGAAGTACCTAAATTAGTAGTGCCCACTAGTGGGAATGTGGAATGGTCTGTTCTCATCAGATCTCAGGAACTAAGCAGACTCCGTACTCGGACGGGGGACTATCAAGGTAGACTCTGCAGAGGAAGGCGATGGCCAACCACCTCTGCTTCTCACTTGCCTTGAAAGCCCCTTGCCGGGGTTGCCACAGGTCAGCTGCGACGTGACGGCACTTTACGCACACACGAGGTCGCAGTGCCGAGTATCGGTATAATTCTGCGACGTATTTCCAACAGGGATGATCCAAAGCCGGGCCAGCCTGGTGTCCCTGGAGAGGACGGCTTGGCCACCGCTCTCCACCGGCTCACCCTCCGTCGGCAGAACTACCTAAGCGAAAAGCAGTTCTTTGAAGAGGAATGGGAGCGGAGGATGCGTCTGCTGGCCGACCAGAAGGAAGAGCTTGCCTGCTGCGGCACGCCGGCGGAGAGCTGCCTTTCGTTGGGGAGCAGTTCGGAACTCACTGACTTCTCTGCCTCCTCCAGCAGCCTCCGCAGCCTCCTGCCGGAGAAGCTGCAGATTGTCAAACCGCTTGAAGGTATCGGGCCCGGGCAGTCTGTTCTCGCTTTCTCCAGTGTGAGGTGATCACTGATCTATTCTAAGATGGAGTTGGGCCTGGGTTGAAATCTCTGATCGAGCCCTCTGTCATAGAATAAGCCAGGGCTGATCCTAGTCTCTCTGGCAGCTTCCAGGTAGACGCTTTTTGTCTGGCCCATAACTACAGTGAGGCTATTGGGGGCTCCTCCCCCTTCCTTAAAGGGCCAGCCCCCTTCTTCGCAAAAGCATTTAAAGGGATCCTTCAAATGCTTTTGAGAAGACACAGGGGGTGGCATGTGCCCCTCTCCCTCCCTTCCTGCAAGATTTAAAGGGCCCTCTAGCTGATCGGCGGGGAGCATGTGCCCCACCAAGGGCCCTTTACATCCTGCAAGAGGGAGGGGGGCACGCGGCACCCCCATTCATTATAGCAAATAACGGCAGCCCCACCAGAAAAAGTTTTGGCCCACAAGCCACAAAATCCTGGCTACGGGCCTGCTTTCTGTGTTCCTGCTGGCTTGAGCTTGAACACCCTCAAACCTGGTGAATGTCAGGCATAAACCTGGTTAAGGAGTAGCACTCATGTGCTCCTTCCTTCTTCTTCTTCTTCTTCTTTTTCTGCCTTGGGAATAGAGCATGACTGAAGACATTTACTTATCTGGGAAGTCTTCAATCTAGCTCTGGGTTTTTTTTGTCTCTGTGATGATTAAATGCAGGCACCTGGAGAAACCGCAGCCTGTTTCTTTCCCATGAATAGGAATTCTAAACCACAGTGAAGCCGTGGGGATGTGGAATGGTGTGGTATGAGCATCCTAGTTTGTGGGGAAGAAACAAACTGATTATTTTTTTCAGGTGTTCCCATTTGGACCAGGAGGTCTTCCATCGCTCTCTGCACTTGGAGAGGAGGGAGTGCCAGCATCACTATGTTTGCACCCGCTGCAAACAAAGAATTTGTTTTCAGGCTCTCAGTAGCTCCAGGGACTACGTCAAACTGGAGGCAGACCGAGATCGGGTGTTGTTCGGGACCTCTTTGTCCGTGGCCTGCCTGCAGCTCTTGTTATGTTCTCTTGAGCTCCTGTCCTGGCTTTCAGTTTTATGAGGAAACTAGTTACATGGATACACACATGAACATATGAAGCTGCCTTATGCTGACTCAGACCCGTGGTCCATCAAGGTCAAGACTGTCTACTCAGACTGGCAGCAGCTCTCCAGGGTCTCAGCCAGGGGTCTTTCACATCACCTACTGCCTGGTCCTTTTAACTGGAGGTGCAAGGTGTTGAACCTGGGACCTTCTGCATGCCAAGCAGATGCTCTACCGCTGACACACGCCCCGCCTTATACTGAGTCAGACCCTTGGCCCGTCAGGTTCAGTGTTGTCTACTTAGACGGGCAGTGGCTGTCCAGGGTTTCAGGTGAATGTCTTTCCATATCACCATATCACCTAAAACCGGAGATGCCAGGGATTGAACCTGGGACCTTCTGCATACCGAGCAGATACTCTGCCACCGAGCCACGGCCCCTCCTCTTCTTCACTGACAAGTGTAGGGACAAACCCTCACACAAAGGTTTCCTGTTGGTCAAGCAGAAAGCGTAACTTCTTACCTCATAGGGTTTGTAGAGACGAGCAATGAGTAAAACTAAATGATTACCAGAAGTAGCAAGTTCCTTTGTGCATCTTCTTATTGTCCTGACTGGCTGCCTAAAGGTGAAGGACATTTGAGATATTTGTGCTGCTTTCCCTCCAGGCTCCCAGACCCTCTTCCACTGGCAACAGCTAGCCCAGCCCAACCTGGGCACGATCCTGGACCCGCGGCCCGGTGTTGTCACCAAAGGTTTCACTCCGCTGTCTCAGGACGATGTCTATCACCTGTCTGACTTGGAGGAAGACGAGGAGGACAAGGACGGAGGCATAACCTTCCGAGTGCAGCAGTCTCCTTCAGAGGAGAGGGAGCCCATAGAGCCGACATCAGTGGCCGGGATCTTCCTGCCACCCATTAAATTGGCAACAGCACCCCCTGCAGGTGAGGAGTGAAGCCCTTGTTGATTTGTTTCTGATCTGTCTGTGACAGCTGGTCTGTATCTGCTTACAGTACTTTACGTCGGTTTGGTGTAGCAGTTAGGAGTGTGGACTCTAATCTGGGAGAATCGGGTTTGATTCCCCACTCTTCTACATGCAGCTGCTGGGTGACCTTGGGCAAACCACAGTTCTGTCAGCTGTTCTCTCAAGAGCAGTTCTTAAAGAGCTCTCTCAGCCCCACCTGCCTCACAGGGTTTCTGTTATGAGGAGAGGCAGGGAAGGAGATGGTAAGCCACTCTGAGTGAAGGACAAGGTATAAATCCAATCTATTATTATTGTTGTTGTTGTTGCTGCTGCTGCTGCTGCTATTGTTGTTGTTGTTGTTGTTGTTGTTGTTGTTATTATTATTATTATTATTATTATTATTATTATTATTATTATTATTATTATTATTATTATTATTATTATTATTATTATTATTATTATTATTATTATTATTATTATTATTATTATTATTATTATTATTATTATTATTATTATTATTATTATTATTATTATTATTGAAATGGATTTAAGCCTGTTCAGTTCTTTATACAGGAAGATACAAACCTTGTGGAACACATGGAATCTGTAGCTTTTCGTTTCCTCTTCAGCCTTGTGTATAACCAGAGGGCAGCAGCTGACGAGACGTGTTTTCCTTGCGTCTTTATTCAGAGATAACATTTTCTGTATGTGTATTATGGGGTATGGAAGCTTAACGTGCCCTGGTCTAAGGGAATTGGAGCCAGTTCCCACTGTTTTGCTGAGGTGGAGACCAATGTTCCCTCTAAGCTGTGGAGGCTTATGAGCAACTGTAGCTTTTCGTTTCCTCTTCAGCCTTGTGTATAACCAGAGGGCAGCAGCTGACTAGAGACGTGTTTTCCTTGCGTCCTTATTCAGATATAACATTTTCTGTATGTGTATTAACGGGGTACGGAAGCTTAACATGCCCTGGTCTGAGGGAATTGGATCCAGTTCCCACTGTTTTGCTGAGGTGGAGACGTAACACGCCTGAACGGGAGCAGGTCATGAGACTGTGTGCCATCTCTTCCTTTCCCCTCCCCTAACCTGGGTTGGAGGCTTCTTTAAAAACTCTGGTTCATAAACCATGCTTAAGATGGAGTGTGTGTGTGTTATGCATCATCGAGTCATATCTGATTTATGGTGACCCTGTGAATTAATGTCCTCTAAAATGACCTGTTGCATACACTCAATGAAATTGCTGAGCAATCAGGTTAGAACGGATAAAAGGAAGTACTTCACCCAAAGAGTGATTAACGCATGGAATTCACTGCCACAGGAGCTGGTGGCGGCTAGAAGCATGGACGGCTTCAAGAGGGAACTGGATAAGCATATGGAGCCGAGGTCCATCAGTGGCTATTAGCCACGAGGTATAGATAGGAACTCTGGGGCAGGTGATGCTCTGCATTCTTGGTGCTTGGGTGGGGGCAACAGTGGGAGGGCTTCTAGTGTCCTGGCCCCACTGCTGGACCTCCTGAGGGCACCTGGTATTTTTGGCCACTGTGTGACAGAGTGTTGGACTGGATGGGCCACTGGCCTGATCCAACATTGGCTTCTCTT